TTGCCTTTCATTCATTCATTTGTTTATTTTTGTGCTCATGAACACACAAGGAAGGTTAGTGATTGCGTAAACAAAGGTAGGGAAGTCTCCTTTTACACGTTTTCTCCAAATGCTAATGTGTTTCTGAATGTCTCTCCAGGCTCCAAATATTTGGTTAATGTGCTGAAATCAAAACAGCAAGAAAACGTCGTTATCGTTACCAACTTCTGTTTGTCGACGCGATGACCTTCCTTGTGTGCGCCCTTGAGCTTCACGGTAATGTTTCATTCGTACTGTTTGCAACTGCCGGGACCAGTGGCGCCCGCCTACACTTTTTAGGAAATAAGAGGGACGGGTGGAGGGAGGGAGGGGGGCAGAGAAGTGGGGCTTTAGGAGGCCACACAATGAAACGAAAGGATAAAACAAAGCTTGGGACAGTATGATTCTCTGAGGAGTGGACGCACGCAGACGAGCTGGTTAGGAAACGTCATAATCTAACACCCTGATATTGGGAAGTTGGTTGGTTCACGTAGTCTTGACGGAGATTAGCTTTGCGGGTGCTTGGCGGCGTATGCTCGTTGTCGGAAGCGTGTCTAGTGTTGTAGAGATTTAGCCTGTCAAGCCACGTCTGGTCAAATCTTCGCGACGTCATGTGCTGTCTTCTTGATCTTTCTTTGTTTCGGTTTTGTCGAATAAACTCAGATGTTCTTGAGATTTCTTGTCGTGTTGTCGGTTTACTCATATTTTTCTTTCTGTCCTATGGTTTCAAGTTATGACGACTTTCTGCGCTTTGCAATAGAGCAGCGCCGTTGTACACACTTTGTCGGTCTTAGGGTATATCTCTTTGGAACCAACGTCATGCGGCAAAGCCCATGTAACGAAGAAGCTAGCTCAATTTGAGAGAAGGTTTGTTGTCGTTTTTCTCCGTCGAAGGTCATATGCTACTCAATATTTTGTCACCGGAAGTTAGCTCAAGTTACTGCAAGGAGTTAATGAAAACTTAAAACATGGAGTTTTATTTATTTTTTTTAATACTGACGGGCAATATTGCTACTTTAAAAAAAATGCTTAAAATTAAACATACATTAAACAAAAATAAAGCTTTAATAAAAATGTAATAATAGTTACTACAAAATTAATTTAATAAAAAATAAAAAAACAAAAAATCATTAGAAATTTGACAAACCATTTTTATTTGAAATAGATAAATAACTTCAAGAATTAAAAAATGACTTAAATTTTAAAAAAGTTTCTAAATTAATAACGAAACTACAAAAATGGCTAAGCAAATATTTTTTATATGCGTAAGTTGCATTTCAAGACATATTTTGTTATATTTTGCCACGTTTTGCATCGAGTTGGTTGTTGGTAAATAATTTGTTAAATTGTCTCTAAAACGTGTTTTTTAAGTGTCGGTGTTATTTAGCATAGAACTATTTAAATGTAATTTTTAATATTTGATGTTCATGCTGTAAAGTTTCTATAATTATAGACTAGAACAGGGGTGGCCAAGCTGCGTCTCGCGAGCCGCATGCGGCTCTTCGCGTGTTGCAGTGCGGCTCGCGACTCCCTCCCCTATACCCGCCCCCACCCCCGGCCACCCTCCCGGTCACACGAGCACGTCCCCAAAAACAGAAATGGAACGCGTTTTAAATCGAGACAGATAGCGGTTTGGTAGTCTTGAGCTACGACTGGCTACCTTACGTACAGTTGGGCTGCTTTTGACTCGGATAGATTGAAAGTAGTTCGAGCTTCGTTTATTGCTTTAGACAATAGTTTGACCCCCCCCCCCCCCCCTCCTCCCGGCTCTTGGAAGTTTCGATGTTTTGTTTGTGGCTCTTATGCCGGGTCAGCCTGGCCACCCCTGGACTATAATATATAACTGTGTGCCTGCTTCGGCTTGACGTTGGCGGCTGTGCAAATTACCATAGTGAAATCTCGGCGATGTCCACGCCTCGAGCTTCTCAATTTCATATATGTGGGAAAATTTTAGCTACGGCTTTCACTATAGCCTAAATGTTTCTCCCAAAAATATGGCTTTTAGATATATTTGTTACAGAGATATCAAAAATATGACCCTTATAGTCATTGTACGACCTCACGTCTAAACACCCCACGTAAGATGCCCTTTTTTATATAGTCTACAGTCTTCGGCCGGTATAGTCAGTACCAATAGTGCCAAGACTCCAACGCATCTCATCATGCACTGCCTTGGCGCTAAATCATCACGTGACGAAGACGGCGTCGGGATCTGCTCGTCGTCTTCGGGCAACCACCAGGATCACGGTAAACCGTAGCGTTACGTGACCGCTTCAGTGGCGTGTTTTGTGGCCGTGTCGGAGTCTCCTCAATGCACCGGAGGCAATGGGGCGCCGAACAGATAAGCGGAGGGGCGTTCCAGGTGCCCCATAGTTACTGAGACTACAGTGTTGGCGGTAACGCGTTACAATAAGTAACAGCGTTACCGGTAACGCGTAACTTTTTTTTGCTAAGGTGTAGCGTATACTTACGTTACTTATTTCTAATAACGGGTAACGGAGTTACGTTACTCTTCACGTTTTTTTTTCCCAAGGCAAAAAAAAAAAATACATTTCAATTTTTCGTGTTTCTAGGCTACAAGCCATGCAAAATTTTTTAATTTTTTGGCGTTTTTTTGTTTGTTTTTTTTGTGAGTATTTAGGGGAAAACGTAAAAAAAAAAAAAGTAATTATGCTCAGTACCCGCATAGACATTTGTTTTTTCAATATGGTGTTTATGCATATTTTAACGTCAAAAGAGTGGAAAGTGTTAATTCATAATTAAAGTAACGCAAAAGTAAGGTGCGTTACTTTTTATCGGTAATGGTAACGCGTTACTTTTATTTTGAAGTAACGTGGGGCGATAACGCCTTACTTTTGTTTGAGAGTAACGAGTAACCTATTTCGTTACTTTTTTTCGGTAACGTCTACCCCAGGTAGCACGTCAGAGAAATGCCCATCTTGGGCAAATGTCTGGCAAACGTAAGGGCCCAACTTTGGCCAAGTTAGGTTTTGCACAGTGGCGTTCATCAGTGCCTAAATACACTGCCTAACTATAGCCCTAGTTGGGCGATACTAGGGCATGCCAATGTTTGACTTCCCTCTGGTACACCACAGGAGTACCGAAGTAGTGCTATACTTGAGCCATGACTGGCAAAGCAACGCCTAATTTGGGTATTTCGGATATGCCAAAGTTTTGCATTTCTCAGGCAAGGCAGAGGAGTGCCGAAGTAGTGCCATACTTGAGCCATAACTGCCGGTGCAACACCTAATTTCGGTATTTCGGACATGCCAAAGTTTGACTTTTCTCTGCTCCGCCACAGGAGTGCCGAAGTAAGTGCCATACTTGGGCCATAACTGCCAGAGCAACGCCTAATTTGGGGCATTTCGGACATGCCAAAGTTTGGCTTTTCTCTGCTCCACCACAAGAGTGCCGAAGTATGTGCCATACTGGAGCCATATAACTGCCACAGCAACGCCTAATTTGGGTATATCGGATATGATAAAGTTTGTGAAAGACTGTGAGGGAAAGGAGTGTCTGCGGGATGCTGTCAAATGCTCTAAATTAACTTTGAAAAAAAAATTGTCCCCGCCATGATTTTATCTTAGTTGCCCCGGGTGTGAAGGGGGCGCAATAGAACAGAGCCACTGTCGCTCTCGCTTTTTGTTATAGCTAGGATTCGACAGTGCTCAATCCCAATGCAAGACACGCACAGAGCTACGCTCGCTTTTGCAATGCGCCGCCTAATAATGATATTTGTTGAGGAGACTTGCGCACATTAGTTTCGCGCAGTGCTTGCTCGATGGCAGTAGTTCCTGCAACGTCAAACCAGACTCAATGCGCGTCTCGATATTGGCGTGAGTACCTACGCACGAATGCAAATATTCAGAGAAATCCGCGTTTGCAAAGCCTGGTCCAGCCGCGGCAAAACATTCAGCCTACCTTTGCCCTAGAAAAAATCAAGAGACACCCAAAATAAAAGCAAAAGTTGCGAGAAGAATAAAACTTGATTTCTATTTAATTAAGTTGCAGACCACCCGCGTACATCCAATACCTCATCAGCCGAGCTGCAGGTCAGTAAGCCTAGTTCGGGCACTTGTTTGGCGACTTTGGCCCGTAGCTGCCAGATGACAGCCGAACTACCAGAAAGCGAAGCCTAACTTTGGCACTTGTTTGGCAACTTGGACCTAAAGATGCCAGATAACAGCCGAACTACAAGACCGTAAGCCTAACTTTGGTACACCTGTGGCGATTTTGGCTCGAAGATGCCAGATGACAGCCAAACTATCAAAAAGTGAAGCCTAACCTTGGTATTTGTTTGGCGATTTTGGCCCAAAAATGCCAAATATCAGCCGAACTACCAAGCAGTAAGCCTAACGCTGGCATTTGTTAGGCGATTTAGGCCCAAAGATGCCAGATGACAGCCGAACTACCAGCCAGTGAAGCCTAAGTTTGGCCCTCTTTTGGCGAATTAGGGACGAAATACCCAGAATCTTGCCAAGGAAGGGGTCAGGTTTGGCTCGACTTTGCTTCTTGGGGCTTTTCAATGCCCTAAACACCCTGACAAAAGCCAAATTTTGGCCCAGAACTCTGTGCTACCTGGGACACCACTGCTGACAGGAACAGCACGGTAGGGAGATCCCTAAGTTGCCCCGCTTCCAACGCGAGCTTCGCACCATCAATAGAAAGTTTTAGGGATCCGCTCTTGAACATCCGATACGGTGCGATGGGCCTTCCGGTACGAACTGCGCATGTGCTACCGGAGGAGGCTCGCACGTGCGCAGTGCGTACCGGAGTGCCCATGGTACCGTATCGCTCCCTAGTAAAGCTCTAGCGTACCTGCGCATCCAAAGTACGGCGACAGGGAACGAGCGCGTGCTAAGGGCCAGGCATCGGATAGAGATGCCCGCCTTCCCTTCTCGTAATGACAGTAAGTATAGTAGAAGTGTCCACACATTTCCTTCCGACTTCCAGTAGTGCACGGGGACCCGGACACAGGGAGGATGGAGGAGAAGCTGATCAGCGAGACCATGGGGCAGATGAGCTTCGAGCCCTTGAAGATGCGGGACGGAGCCGTGTGCGGGGACTTTGCGGAGATCAACCGGCCCTGCGTCGGAACCCCTGGTACGCGCCGAGAGGTTGAGCTCGAGCACGGGGCCGTTTCAACGGAGGCCTCACATCTCCAAAAGACGCGCAACCCGTGCAAGTTAAGAAAGAGCTTGAAACACACGCTCAGAAGAAATTTTCCACGGGTTCGCAATCGCTATCGGAGGTCTGTTTCAAACTGTATTCGAATTGCACAGGTTGCGTGTCTTTGGAGCTATGAATGACCCCTTATTTACTCGCATCTCTTCAACAAACCAGGTCGAAGTTTAAGTTTGTACTTTAGGTTAGTATGGCCATTTAAAATGTATGCGTACCTTATATTGTGTTTTCGCAGCCAAAAACTTCCAGTTGTAGCATTTGTTAAAGTTATTAAATGCAATCTTATTGTTCTTTTTTTTTTTTTTTTTGCTTATGGGTTTTGAATAGACGGAAGTTCCGAAAGAGTTTGCCTGGAAACAGTGTAAGGTTTCATTCCCACGTCGCTATTACAGGTGCCACCCAGCACTCGGAGCGCGTGGACACCGTGACCCAGGGCACTTCTCCCGAAGGTGAGTGACTGCATGAAGTATAAAATATGTGCCTAGATGTTCCAAAATCAAAAAGCTGGTGTGTGTGTGTGTGTGTGTGTGCGTGTGTTTTGTGTGTGTGTGCGTGTGTGCGCGCGTCTGCGCGAGTGCGCGTGCGTGCGTGTGTTTGTGTGTGTGTCATCAAGTTTTTCAAATTATGGCCCTTCCCCTGGTGCCGCTAAGCAAGAAACTTAGATAGATAGATACACCCACTAAATTCTATTTTTTTTCACATTTTTTCTTAAATTATGACTACGAAAATATTCGTGTGTTTACTTTCTCAAATAACATCTTTTGAGCATTCACCGCATGCAGGCTACGCAAAGAGCTACTAAAAAAAAAGTCGCGGCCTAAAATGCACTATGTATAATGGACATGAGCATGGGATGAGCATGACACGAGCACATAATATTAGCATGTGTAACGTCATGCTTGTAATGTCAAAACACCAACTTCATGTCTCAGCGAAAATGTTTTCTTTTTTAACAACCCCCCTCCCTTCCACCAAAAAAGAAAACAAACGTTTTAGAATTTTTTTTTCATTTGTTATTTATATATAAATATATATATATATATATATTTTTTTTTTTTGGGGGGGGGGGGGTATTTGTATATATTGTATGCGGTGAATGAATGTGGTGCATTTCGTGAAGGTCAACGGCCGGAAATTTTTAACACAGCATGTGCTTTATCAGTCACTTTCTTTGAAAACTAGGCAACGCTCACACAAAGCGTCCACGCGCAGCGTTCGAACGACATTTCCCCGAAATATACAGTGGAGAAGTTTATGTCACGTCACGGGACCACGTCATTCGACCCCTAATCACGCGACGTTAATTTCCCCGCCAAATTTAGCTGGGAATTTGAGGTCACAGCTTAGACATCGAGTCACGTCACGTGACATTAATATCCTAGCAAAATTTTAAGGGGAAATTGAATTACGCGATGTCATGGTTCGGGATCGGCAAATGGGCTACTTCCCGGTCTTTGTCAGCATGATCAAGCTTGTATAAATTTTTACGAGCAGAATTATTATTACCTAGGTTTCGCTGGAGATCCCCGGGTGTGTTTCCCTTTGCAGAATTGCCGTGGTTAAAAAGTTTATCTGCTAATTAAAAAAAAAAAAACGTTTTTGCTGCAGTTACGGGGAAAGTTAGGCCGTCAAATTGTTGGGGGGGGGGGGGGGGGGGGGGGGGCATTTTACCTCTAACGTTAGCGGGGAAATTTATCGACTAAACATTTGCGGGAAACATTCTCAGATTAACCATGTTGAATTAACCTGAGACGTCGTCCTGTCTATTTTCTGTCCCTTCTACGTTTTGATGTTTGTTCTCTACCCCAGTCTCAGGTTAATTCAACATGGTTAATATTCACCAGCTCGCCTGAACCCTTACGATTTTTTCCATTCTCAGATAAATATTTCGGTGTCGCGGGACTTCACCTGACACAATGGTTGCATGGTTAGTGTGCGGCGTGATTGTGTGTGGCCACGTCCCAATTTTCTCTGCTGTGGTCACGTCTCATTTTTCAGCAGGCTGCTGAGCCGGCATGCACAGCTTGTACTTAACTATATGGACAAACAGTAATCAAAGCCCATCAATCAGTCGCGGGACTTATGGTTCTGTTTTATAACTATATCGCAGCTACATTTTGATTGTACATGAGTGTATGCTGTTGTCGTACCGAAGAATGAGGCAAGCTTCAGGGATATTGGAACGCGTCAAGCTGCCAAGTAGCAGCTTTCCATTGAGTCCCTGGTCACAATTGTACCTGTTGTGCCATAAAATAAACAGCTCTTCTTTTTTTATATTTGTGCTCCGTCCAGCTGACCAGAGCGAGGACAGTGATGAGGATGACAGCTACCTTGAATCAGACGAGAGGTGAGTGATTTTCTCTTCTCAGGATGTGAGATATATGTAAGCATTACAATGGCCACATTTAAGACCGATCTCTAAAATATATCGCAACTTCAATAATAATATATAAACACCCCGATATATGTTGGCCTAAGACAGGGACAAACAAGGGGTTTTCCCATGAATTAATAGAAAGGGGGGGGGGGGGCGTCTTAATTTTGAGGGGTTTGAGAGGGAAGGAGGGGGGAGAGGGGAAGGAGAAGGCACGAAAGCACTTTTTTTTCCTTTATTCACTTCCCTCCCTTCCCGCCAATTTTTTTTTTTTTTTTTTTTTTTGCGTGGGGTCAGGAATGCAAACGTGGTGCCCGACAGAGTTTGTAGACAACTACATTCCACATGGCAGTTTATACATTTAATTAAAAATACGTCATTTCCTTCAGAAAGCATGAAGTAACGCAAAAAGCAACGTCAGACAATGACAGTCACTCTACCACTACTCTGATACCGCAATGAATGTCAGTGACGGATATATATTCGAGTGGAGAAGAGTCTGCCAGCACGAAAACGTTCTTCTATTTCGAGGAATCGCCCTAGAAAGTCAATGCTTTATTTTTGCCATGCGAACACATATCAGAAAAGGTTATCTTTAGGTATAAAATAGTGGCGATAAATATTAATAAATCGTAGTTACGCCCTGCCTTCTAACGTAAGATAGAAGACGACGATATGAAGTACAACCTCTGGTGCCACATTGATCAAAAGTTCTAAATAAACTTTGTAGGTATTTCCTATTAATTAAAAATGTGACACACGCTTATAAAATAACTTTGTATTTGTTTAGAAACAAATATTAATTTTCTTAGCCTTAGAGCGAACCTTTTGTTGTATGTGCTACGCCAGATAATGTTTAAACTTACGAAGGAAAACAGTGAGACAGGGGGAAAGGTAAAGCAATAACGAGCAAGTGTGCACCAAAAGACTAGAAATAAAGCGACCCTAGACAAATAGAAAGTCGGGGCTCCAAGCCTCGCTGCGAAGGGGGTTGACCAGCGAAGCTGTGTTATCACCTGCAACGATTGCCCACTGCACTATACCTAAGGGTTGACGAAGGAAAAGCAAATGCACTGTACCAAAGCGTTTTATGTATGAAAGGCTAGTGACGTCAATTCCCCACGTCGCAAGTTGCCGTCGCCGCGGCAGCTTGCGCAACACTAATCTTTACCGTGAAACGTATGCGTTGAGCGCTACGTGCATTGCATTGTTGTAAGGAGCGCCCTATCACCAATTATGTTGTTCGCATGCTTGTTTCGCGCTTGTTCTTTATTGAAACGAATGCTGCGCTCTATGTTGTATGCGTAATATGTACTTGTTGCTTAAATCGTTGAAGATTGTTTTTTTTTTTTTTTTTTTTTTTCGTGGGGACACCGACACGGAATAGTCTGCCGAACGAGTCATATACAGCTTCGCTGTAAAAGAACAACCATACACCGCCGCACCAGTACATATAAGTACACGCGGACAGAAATGAAAAACACTCGGCTATGCATCTGTTCACATCACGCCAAGAGCATAACTAAAGACGCAGCGAACAGTCCAATACATGTATGCTCAACACTGTTTAGACGCGCGGAAGATGCGTATCAGAGCTTTCCACTTTGAGATAAAACCCAGGCGATGCATGCGATCCGAGACGCTCGCTACGGGACTTTTGACCGCATCCGGCGCTACAGTCCGTCTGAGCCAGTCCAGAAGTGCCAAACATGTATCTCCACGGCGCTCGCTGCCTTTGTGCGTTTGCTGTGACGAGTTAAACCAATCGGGCACAGAGAAAAGCGCAGGATCACAGTTCATTTAATGAGCATGATTGGTCACCGTCGGCGTATCCGCGCGGTGCATTATGGGAAAAGTCCCGTAACGCACCGGGGTGACGCGCGCGTTGCATTACGGGACGTTTTTCACAATGCACCGCGCAGGAGGACGGAGGGAGGAGGGGGACGGGGGAGGAGGAGGGCGAGGAGGGAGGAGGATGAGGAAGAAAGCTGATTAAGAGGGAGGAGGACGAGGGAGAGGGAGGAGGCGAGGAGCACGGGAGGAGTAGATGAGAAGGTGCGGATGAGGAGGAGGAGGGGTATACCGTCCCCTCCGTACCCTCCCTTCCTTCTCCTCAAGAGCTGTGCTCTAATTCGGCATTACAGGGGGTTGTACATGTCTTTCATTTTTTTATATACTAGTAGTTGTATTAACGCGGTGCGTGAGAATGGGCAAACCTCTTCGTTGTTCTCCTTCACATCAATGAGAGGAGCAGTCAAGGAGCTAAGCTGCGCTGAAGAGATGCGATGAAACTGCTCGTGTTCTGATGTCGCTGTGACGTTAGCTCCATATAGGAACCACTTTTGAGCCAACACGCTTAAAAAAAAAAAACGGTCTTCACGAAAAAGATTATTCGTTTTCTTTTTGGCATTCAGGGGAAACTTTTTTTAGGGGGTGCCCTCAGAAAAATTAGTGTGTATGTCTGTGTGTGGAGGGGGGGAGGAGTTGTACACCGCCCTAGGTAGGGTAATCACTGGCAAACACAGGAATATTGAAACGACTATATACGTACAGTGTCTTGCTGCGTCCTCTGCCAAGAATATCATTGACCCTCCCGCTCTTTCTGGCATGCAACCCAATCTCACGTTTGCTTAGGGCGCTGAAACTTTCGGTAAAAAGAAAGAAAAAGAAAGCGGTAAAGAGAAAAAAAAAATCTTTGTTCGTACCAGTAGAATTTAAAAACCAGGCGCTCGAACCAACTAGTGCATTTGTGTCAGCGCCCGGCGTTTAAACGTTTGAGCATCTATTTGTCAGTTCTTACAGGATGGAAGCTTTGCTTTAAAATTTCATGGCAAAAATTAAACATAAAATGCAGCTGAGATGAAACATTTTGTATCTATTTAGACGACTCAAATTTCGAGTTTCATTGTGCTGGGCTCCTCAGGATCGATGCCGCTCCATTGCCAGGAGCAACATAGTAACTGCACGAGACGCTCCACCTAAAATGTTTCGACGTTCAACGCGCCAAAGCGCATTCATTTATGCAGTGATTTCGTACAGTAAATGCATCGTCTGAAGAGGCGTTACAGTGAAAGAGGCTACACAGACACAACATGGTAAAATTGAAGAAAGATAATAAATGTAACCCTTATATATATATATATGTAATGTCATAGCCTCCCCTATACTGACAAAACTTGGCAGATCGCCATGAGACGCGACCGCCGAGAGTGAAAAGGGAGAGCGGCAGGCAACGGGGGAGAGGAGAGTCATATAACGGGCGCCCCGCTGGGGCGAGACGCCGAAACACGAAACAGCGATGGAATGTCCGCTCGTGCTCATCGCGTTCCTCGCTTGCCATCGTCGCTGCAAAAGCTGTGCGCTCACTACCAGCTTTCCCGAGAAATTCTCTCTGCTACCAGATCCTCGCGCTCCAAATCTTCAACCGGGCACTCTATGGCTCCGTCGTCGAACTGCCAGAGTTTGTGAATATAGAGGAGGCTATGGTAATACATGGCGATATAAAACTAAAAAGTATACATTATTTAAAAAAAAAAAAGCTTAGACGTACGATTCACCCTTTCAAAATACAGCTTTAACAATTATGTTTTCACAGTGTCATGAAGTATCTTGTTCACCAATAAAACTTGGAACAAAGTAACTGTTGAATGCATTTTAATGAACGCATTATTTTAGAACTGTATCAACTTTGAGGAGTCTACGGAAATATATATAGACTCACACATTGCAATAATTGTAAAAAATATTATGCAAGAGTCTGAGACGGAGGCATTTTGTATCTGAATCGGAGGTATTTAGCTCACTGGTGATTTAAGTTTAATGATTCAATCTATCAAATCACAAATTCTTGTAACAATTCTATCAGCACGATTATCCAAGTTGTGTGTGAAGCGCTGATTGTCTAAGTTCTGATGAAGCTCTGGTTGTCTAAGTTGTATATGAAGCGCATTATACGAAGCTCTAAGTCTTGCGTGCACCAATCTTGAAAAAATAAAAAAAATAAAAAAAAAGCGTAGAGGGATGCTGTCTTTTTTTCTTTTTTTTAAGACGTCAGAAAAATGCTGTTTTCGTGTTGACTCCAATGGTGACATTATTTCTCTTTGGAGATTCGGGGAAGGGGCCACTCCCGCAGATTTTGTGTTGCTCCAGTCAAATAATTTTTGTCCACATTTTATCAAGAAAATAAATGATATGATCAAGAAAACTAAATTTTATACGGCTTTATCGAAAGTTGCAAAATTTAGCGCCAAAAAAAAGTCCAGCTGACGTCCGAGCGCAAATTTAGGGAGTTTTGGTAGATCTCTCTGATAACCCCGATAACAATACCAATACTCCGTCGACGCCTTTGCGCACGGATTGTACTATTGTCGGATATCGTTACTGGGAAACGTCGGGGTTATTGGAAAGATCTACAACAACTACCTAATTGCCCACGCGAAAGAGGGTTAACCTTCGTGGCGGTAGCTTTCTTCCCGCGACCTCCTTTCACCAACGTGTATTCCTGTCTTAATGCGGAACAGCTTGGACGACCGGAGCAGCTACCACGCCATGGACAACTACTTCGCGCACAAGTTCCTGCAGGACTTCTTGGCCCGCATGACACGCGCCGACGGCCGGGAAGAGCGCCGCGAGGGCGACGGTGCAGAACGGGCGCCACGAGAGCCTCTGGACGTGGCCCTGGTGCAGGCGTACTCTGAGCACGCGATGCGGGTCTACCAGGCCATGATCAAGCACATTGACTCCCTGGGGGCGGCCATGGCCAACAAGTTGAGTCATGTCCGCTCGGAATCGGCGGAACTAGAGCCTGCCAGGAGGATTCAGGTGAGAGTGAGAAGGACACCGGGAATGTCCCTTGCGGGCAGGGTCATCTAATGGCTGAGGCCGGTTTTATTATTAACAGAGGTGACAAAGAAAGTCATTCGTTGAACTCCGCGGTATCAGTGAAGCGGGCCCAGTTTTCATCTGGGCGAGTAGAGTTGGCTTACGCTTCCCACGAGCTCTAGGGTCCTTACTGCCCCGAGACGCGACCGTGACATCAATTTTAAGTCGTCCTTGAATCAGTTCAGTCATTAAAAAAGGTGGCCAGTTTATCATCTTAGTGGGCTTGCACTCTCCCTGGCAAGAAAGCATCCAAAGTTTTTTTTTTTTTTTTTTCCAAAGATGCCGTTTTGGAATATGGCAGCACTTGCAATTGGGTCATTCCATCTCAAACGTTCCAAACGTCGCGCTCGCCCAATTCCGATTAAAAAAAAAGATTATGGCTTTTTGCTTTCATGTCGTTAACCTTTTCCTAAAATAATTTCGTCAATTTTTCTTTTTATGTCGTGAGCATGGTTAGAATTTTTAAGAGGGGGGTAAAGCTACGGGCATCAATCAATAACTAAATCAAAATCAAAGTTTTTTCTAAATGCTTCACAATTCGTTTTTTTTTATAATTTGAACGACTTTGAGCTTGCTATGCTGCGATAATTATGCAATTATGCTATTTTATTGTAAATATATTTTTTAATCGACAAAACACAAAAATTATAACATTTTTAATTTTTTTTATCGCTTTGCGCCTGGCAATTAAAACTTTTTTTTTGTTTTTGGTTGGAAGCCCAGTAGATGTGTTACCAATAAAAAAAAATGTTTGAAGCCGTACAATAAAATACTGCACAGAAAAAAAAAACACCTAAATTTGTAAAAGTTTGATTTGCTGCTTAGACAGCCGTCTGTTCTACCCTGAGGTGGTCCAAGTAAAAATACGAAACATAACGGCTTCATAAGAAGAGTTCATTTTCATTCATTTCTGAAAGTTTTATCAAAATTGTTTATGTCTAAATTGAATAAACTAAATATTAATTTTGTGATCCCACGTCGCAACGCAGTCTGACCTCTAAGTTTCTCTTCACCCTACAGAACGCCACTGTCGACATTGTAGCCGAGGAAACACACAATTGCTTTTCTTGAGCGGAGTATCTACCACAGGTAGGTGCAGAAAAATTGTGTTGTCTTATAGACCTTTCCAAAAAAAAGGGCTCCTCTCCTGTTCCATTTTCACGGTTTGTCCGTATGGCGTGATTCGTTCGCTTTCCGAAGTGTCGAACATGCTCGTGCTGGGCTGAGTAGATCGCACGCTCGGCTAAAGACGTGTAAATATTGGCATGGTGTTTAGATATTCATAAGAAAAGGCTTGCTTCTGCTTCCCTGACTTTCCGATATCTGCAATTGCAACGGTCGTCTGTGGCGGAGTCCTCTCGTGATCTAGCACGGCTCGTCACATCTGCTGTTTGTTTTTTTAGAGCTCCAGGCAGCATATCCCTCAGCAGGTCACTTGTTTCACATCGCAATTTGTCCCCCTTGTCAGTGTCAGGACACACGTAAACAACAGCAAAAAAGCCCGTGAGTAGGCGATATTAAAACGACCTGGTTGGGACACGGAAGCTCAACTTCAATACTTTTTATCGATTTTGACAAAAAATATTTTGATTAAATTTTCAGAAGTGAAATACAATAAACTATTCTTACAAGGTCATTATGTTTCAAATTCTTACTGTGACCACCTCAGAGTTGAATAGACGGCTACTTAGGCTGCAAAAGAGACTTTTTTTGACAATTTTAGTATGTTTTTTCCTGTGAAGTATTTTGTTATATAGCTTCAATTATTTTTCATTTGTAATACATCTACAGGGCTTTTAAAAGAAAATTAATAGCCAGGGACTAAGCGATAATGAAATATAAAATTGAGAAAAGCGTTACTTTTGTGCATTTTGTTGAACTTTTAAAAATATATAGTTTAATAAGAAAAATTGCATAATCATCATAAGATAGCAAGCAAAAAGCCGTTCGAATTTTATAAAATAAATTATGAAGCGTTTCGAAGAATATCTTATTTTCACTCAATCATTGAATGATGCCTAGTTTTACGCCCATTTTAAGAAATTCAAACCACGCACACGCCATAAAAAGAAATTTCGGCGAAAATCTTTTAGGATAAGAATATGGGCCTTAAGGCAAAAAGCTATGAATTTCCTTTTAAAAATCGGAAATGGACGAGCGCGATGCCTGGGTTGTTTGAGATGGAATGGCCCATTCAAGTTGGCATAACAATTTAAAGGTAGACCCATCATTTGTATTTAGACAGCATGCCGTGGCAGAATTAACTCGAAGACTTCCGAGTGGGAGCTGGGGGGTGGCTATTCGCAACTCCAGAGGGGGCTCGACGCCTAGCAGCGAGAAGGGAGTGAAGGGCAGAAGCGGGGTCGCGAAAGCGTATCCAAGAGCGCAGCAAAAACTGGCGCGGTCTGGCGGCCGAAATGTAAAACTTTGGAGAGAAAATTACATGCAGCTTGTTGGAGTGGCGATTATGCGAATAAAGATTGCGGATTTGAGATAAAATGTGTCCCCGATAGGAGTACAGCGTGCGACATCATTGTTTCTTGATATCCCTTAAATAACTTACGATTGGTAAAGCGCGCCATCACTACGCCTGCGCAGGCTTCAAGGAAATTCTGCGAGCCTACTGGGCGCTAGCGGCGTCCGATCCACCGGTTCCAGGTTGATGGTTTATGGCACGATCTCTCTGAGGCGAGTTTCTTTCACGCCATGCAGGTGCAGTTGTACGCGGACACTGCGGAGGCCTCGGCGAGTCAGCTGCGCCGCGTGGCCATGTCCTGTGCATCGTGCGCGCTGTTGGACATGGCAGAGCCCGACGTCACGGTTCCCGCGGGCCTGTCCGAGCAGTACCTCTTCTGCAGGATCGTGTCGGCCTGCCTCAAGCTGCGGGACAGCTGGTGGAAGAGCGAGCTCTACCTGTCCAAGCACTTCCTCCGCTTCCTGAATCGGTGCCAGGTGAACCATTTTCCCCCGTCCTAGCACCCGAAAACGTGGTACTGCGCCTTCACATAAATTAAATGTCTCAAAATTTCGGCTCGCACCGGATGGATGGATCCCTATGGCGGAACTTGTCGAATAATTCGGTAGTTTGCGTCACGTAGCTATTGTTTTCAATTTCTCGAGGCAATATCTACCTTCGAACCAACCAAGGCTTCACCTTGGTTGCTTTTTATATAGATATGTATGTATATATGAAGCAACCAAAGAACCAAAGGGGAAACATCTCACTCATTTACAACAACATGCTTCCTCTTGAATCTATGAATCCTAATAGACCTCTGGAATTAATGTTTAGGCAGTGTTTTTTTAATTTCAATAGGCTCTATATATTTCGGGTGTTTTGCCGATCATCAGCCAACGTTTTTATTTGTTTTAAATTTCATAGTGCATAGAAACTTGGCATTGCATGTGTTTACACCAGCAGAGGAAGTTGAAGTGCCCTCACTCTGACTTGTGAAACAATTCCACCAGGCGGTGATACACAGAATTCTCGCCGCGATTAGACCTTTCCAAAGAAAGGGCCCGTGGCCGTTTCCATTTTCAGCGTTCGGGCGTACAGCTTGTGAATTGCTCGCTTTCCGAAGCGACGAACATCCGCGTGCTGTGCTGAGAAAATTGCACGCTGGGCTGAGAACTTGTAAATAATGAAATGGTGCATACAACGGTGTAAACTCGTTAGCGTTCTCCTCCAAGTCCCACTCAAGACTAAGTAGCTCTACGAGCGAACCATACTGCCGCGAACTGGCGCTGCTTCTTAGATACTCATGACGTGCCGGCATTCCTGCGGAGCTTCACAGACCGCCAGCGCAATTTTGAAATCTGTTAATTCGTGTTAAAATTAGTTTTCACGGTGTTTCTGCTGTCAGCCTAGAAACACTAGTCTAGACTAGTTTTTCTGGGCTGTCGGCACAAAAAGGACCACATCTGAACAAATAAAAAAGCTCGAGGTACATTTAAGCACTTTCTATGAGTTGTGAATGCGAAAGCACGCATGCTATGCGGAGGGCAAGTTCGTCTGCTCCTTGCGCAGGGGGTAGCGGTGACGTCAGAACGCCGAGCCCTGATTGGCAGATCGAGCCCCCCTATCTGAGCGTCGTCTGCTTCTTTGCAACGTCGTCTGCTCGCATCGTCGTCTGCGTCTGTCTTACGTTTCCTGCTACTTTCGGAAGTGCAGAGGCCAGATTCACGAAACGATCTTATGCCAAAAATGTGCGTAAGACAAAACTTAAGAACAAATTCGTATTCACGAAACGAAATTTTCGTAAGTTTTGCGCAGGTTACGGCGAAATCCTACGACAGCTCCGAAGCTGTCTTACGCACTTCTTACGATCAAGTCAGCATGGCCGACAGCGTCGCGGTCGCGACGACCCACGGACGTTTATTTTTCTACGTGAGTTTCTCACGCGTCCTGACTTCAAGCAGCAAAAAAAAAGTAAAAATTACTTGAAACAGAGCACGACGAACAAGAACGCTGGATCCACAGACACCGGGGAAAAGCTCCAACGGCGACGATTCCACCGAACGCGACCAAACGAGCTGGGCAGTTAGGCCTAGCAGGCACTCCGCGACTCGGCGACCGTCTGCCCACGACCGGCTGACGTGCTGAATGGAATATGCCCGCGCGACCCTTGTGAACCCTTCCCGTGTTATACTAAGATTAAGAGGTCAATTTCTTCCTCTTGTTATCTCCTTGTTTCCCGAGGCAACGGTGACTCTCGCTGGTGAAAAAGCGGCGAATCTCCGACAGACGCAGGAAAGGTAAAGCAGCCATCGCTTTGACTAGCAGACGTAAAGCAGACGACTTTAACTGCGCCAACCCGCCGGCGCCGTTAAAGAGTGAGGGGTCTCGCCGCACACGAATGGAGGTAAAAAGTATTTGGGAGGGAGCTTGCGGACACTAAGCAAACAAACCTCGGCGCCCCGGGACACCTCGCCAGTGAGTCCTTTGACTTCCCTCCTTGATGCGCGTCTGCTAGTTGTTAGACGAAAACAACGTACCGCTCGAGTTATAAGTCGAGTTCGCTCCGAAAGTCGCAGGAAAGGTAAGACAGACGCAGACGATGTTGCGAGCAGACGACGTTGCAAAGGAGCAGACGACGCTCAATAGGGGGTCACGATCAGCCAATCAGGGCTCGGCGTTCTGACGTCACCGCTACTTCCTTTTTCATGCGCAGAAGACGAAAATGAGCCCACTTGCGAGGCGTATTCTTCCGCTCCTTTATTTCGTCCGCGGCGTATTTGCGTCGACGGCATATTGCGCGCTCTCCGCCGCTCTGACCTTGGACGCTTCGTGTTACCCACGCGCTGAAGGCGCAGACACTCAGCGCCTTGGGGTGGTGGTCGTTGAAATTGACTCGCAGCGGCCAATGGGAGCCTCCTTCCTTGAATCTATGACGCGTGCCAGCCAATGGGACTGAAGCCGAAATCCATCAGCTTCACTCCGCTCCTTTGGGATCGGGGAAGCTAGGTGCCCGTCTGGCTAGGCGTTTCGCGCGGTTTCGAAGCTGGGAGCCGGCTTCACTGGAAGAAAGGACTTTAGGTGCCGTGTGGCGCGGCTTCAAAGCTGATGACGTCGGCTCGCTCCATGGGGCAGTTAATGATTTCGCATTAATAAGTGTAAATATTTCGTTTCCGCACCCTTTTAACTACGGATGACCGGCGCCTCGGCGCCTACCAGGGCCTGTCTCACAACTGGCAGTCCCGCCTGCAAGAGGCCCAGGTGTTCCTGCTGCGCGCCTCCATCGAGGTGCACGAGCGCATGGACCGCGAAATCGGGCTGTGGCAGTGGGCGCGCAGCGTCAAGTTCCCGGCGCGCCGCCCGGCCCTGCTCCACCCGAACCTGCTCAACATCTTCGTGGACGAGCAGCTGACGGGAGACGTCTCATCGCTCATGACCTTGTTCGTCTTCGAGACTGGAAACACGGTCTACAGGGCCATCTTCTCTATCCAGGAGGAGGTATGCGCCATTGCAATGGTTGCAGAAACAAAGCCCTGTGTCAAACCTTCACAGCCGAGCACGCAAGCGTTTGTTCGCTTTGTAAAAACATAATCACTGGCAGAATGAGAACGGTGAGAAGGTCCGCGGCTGACCCGTCTCCATCGCGATCTTTCTACCTTCAATATCGCTTCTTCATCTCGTTAGCCTCGAGGGCGCATGCTTGGACAAAGCATGACAGAAGGCAACGCGCGCGTGGTGCATTCCGAGCATTTGAAGGAGCCGCCCCTGCCGTTCTCATTTTTTTAGCGAGTTTAGAACAGCTGAGAATAGCACGTATCAGAAGCTTATGTTTTCAAGGAAGCCCGTTGGCACGCAGCTGTGCGTTATTCTGAAGGCAGCGCACAATTTGGCGTGACTTCAAGCATAGACTGTGCAAAAGCGAGTGGCGTACTACGTGAATGGTAATACCGGAAGAAGTTTCTGTCAATCCTTTGTACTTATTGGCATTCATAGCTGTGCCCGCTGCGGCTAGGCTAATGCTGTCAACGCTACTCCGCGACACTATAAATTACTCGAGTCGGAATGAGACTCCGCCCATAAGACACGAAACTTGATCCACACAATAGAGGGCGTGTGCACCAGCGACTCTGATTCTTAGTGTCAGGTGCCAAACATCATCGATCTGGGTATAGACTATAAAATGTTAATTTCCAAGCTACTGCGCCTAGTTACAGAAGCCCTTGTTTCGCGGTGTCCCATTTTATAATGTCGAAAAATGGCAAGTTTTTATTGAGGAGAACATTTTTCTCATGAAAAATATTTTAAAAAAAGGCTATCTTACGAAAGGTTCAACGTATGCGTGATTCCATTATATCTGTAGCTGACAGGTGGGGGGCGACAGTTCATGAGACAGCACGTGCCCTCTCGTGTTGTGTTCGCGGAGACCTGCGGTGGCGTTGTTGCGTGTGCAGAAAAACTACACTTCCCACAATGCATGGCTATAGAGGTAGCGTAACAAAACTGGCTGGTGAGGTCGGTCTATTAGGGGCGAAGTTTCTCTAGCAGATGTGACGTTGCAACAGACTACATGCCTTCCCGTCTGCCCTCGTCCCCAGCCACAGGGTCGGCATATCCGGCATGGACGAAGAAAGAATACCATTTCAACTCGCAAATATTAAAAAAAAAAATAAAAAATAGAGGGTAGGCCAAATAAGAATGGGTGACGGTTCCGCTTATATCCTAAATGCTTTCTATTGGTGAGGCTTCGGGAAAACGATGTTTTCGCCCATACTGGAAGTGACGACATTCGAGAAGGCGGCGCCCTTGTGGAAAAGGTATATATATGTTTCACAAAGTTTAAAATGGCATGTGCGATTCCCTTCCCTAGAGAATGATAAACTATGCCCAAGCGAATGATAACTGTAAGCCACTTCGAATGTGCATGTGTGTGTCAGGGTCCGGAACGTTGCATCACGGTAGGGTCTCTGCTTATGTTTAAGCTTCCTTTATGTATATATATATATATATATATATATATATATATATATATGTATGTATGTATATCCTGGCTCCGCCAATTTTTGGCTTTCAGCGGGTTCCTGGAAACTTTGATTCTTTGATTCATTGGATTAAGTACGGTTCATTCATCTGCACATATTCGTTCATATATATATATATATATATATATATATATATATATATATATATAAACGGTAAAGCTTTATATTAAAAATATTATTAAAAATTTATTTACTACATCAGTACCTTTATAATATCCCCTAATTTTGTTTATATAACGGCTATAAAATTACTGAATTAACCCTTTGAGTGCCACTTCCGAGTATCCTCGGGCGCGCTGCCATGCAAGTTACAGCTTCGTTTTCCTTTGCTCAATTGGTGTGTAGATTTTATTTTTAGCTGTAGAGCAATGCCGTTTTCTGTGAGTGGCTCATAGAAAGTTTGCATAAAAAACTTCCGTTTCGGTTTGCTCCTTTTGTTCCAGAAAAATCGAAATCTGTCGTTCAACGTCGCGCCTTATGGCAAACACTAAGATGTAAAAGTTAGTACTAAACTAATTTAGTAATAAACTCAATACGAAGGTTCCAAACAATCTCGGAATTCGGTTAAGACCACTCCGTTAAGGCTACTCGGTTAAGGCACCTTTTTTAAGGCACCTCAGCCTCGCACCCATGGGTGCGCGGCCAGGGTGCCACTTTGCATGGTACCTTGTCTCAGAAACAATAATTCGAGAAACAATATCCTAGGTCAGAGTCACGTAGATATCAATTAACTTTGAGACCATAGATCAGTGTGTCTTCGTTAAACAAATACAACATGCTTCATAAAACAAGCTACAGTTTTTCTGCATGGCACCAACATTCGTGTTGGACAGGCGGGAAAAAAGCAGGCACTCCAAGGGTTGACCCACCAATCAATTAATTATTGTACTAACTGCTGACACTTTTTTTTACGTGTTAATAGTTAAAACGCTTACACATAAATAAGGATATTATGTGCATAATAGTTGTCAATAATCAGACATAATGTAATCACTTGAAAAGCACATGTTCCCCTGGGACGTACAATTCAAAGGACAACCCTGCAAAAGTGTTTTTTTGTAGGCATAATTATGCTTGAAAATACAAAACACAATCATCTATAGTCGGCGACAGGTCAAGAAGGACGTGGAAGCTCTTCCCAACCCTCTCCACTTCCAGGAAAGAAGGCTGGAGAGGAGGCGACCTTCTCTCCAGCGTTTGCTCTACTATAGTGGAAAGAGGTGTGAGAACTTCCCACTTTCTTCTTGACCGGTCACCGACTATTAGCGGCGAGATACTTCGGTGGCGCCCTCCCGTGGTTCCCTCTCGTGACGTCATCACCTTGCAAACAACAAGTTCGATGGTGTTTGTAATTAGCATGGCGGAAGCTTGAAATCAGTCCGCTCTCAAAGCAGCACTGCCAACACCGTCAAAATGTGAATTCTTACCTTCCTCTTGTTTCCGTTGATGAAAAATTCTTTGCTGACATTGTAGTCAGCATTTGGCCAATCGTCGAAGGCCGACCACAGCGACACTTTCGATCGCGCACGTCATCAATAGCGGCAGAGTTGCTAACAAAAACACAAGAAAGCATTTCCTTCCAAGTATTATTTTTTTTTATATTTGAATCAAATAAGCGAATAGCACATACTATAACCTTCAATTACTTTACACTACTTAGTAGCAGGCAAATTGACATCATGAAATATACGTTTTGTTTGCTCTCCCCGTTACTTCCACCACTACCATTATCAGCATTTGAACCTTTGCGAAACAAGCCAATTTTGCAATTCTATCAGCCTCAGCATCGCACCGATTCACCGAATAACTATCCATCAAGGTTCACCAGTAGTCCAGTACATAGGCGAAACATTCTTAATCGACGTACAACACAGCCTTACATCAAGCTTCACGATAGATATTGTAATTTCTATTCTTTATTAATGACAACATTCTAAGAATAGTGGTCAACTTTGACTATAACTTATTATTCTTTGTTCCACGGGCCAACTTGGCGAGAAGTGAAATTTTCAGCTTTCCATTCGCCAGAAGGCCGCTTTCTCGAGCACCCGTCCGAAACTGTCCGCGCAGTTCAAGCTCCGGCAGCTGAGCTACGACAGCGGCCAGCTGGAGGACGAGGTGCGCCGCACCTGGTCCACCTACCTGGAGAATGTGCACGAGCAGTGTACCAACCTGGGCGCCAATCGGGCCCTGTACACGATGGGCCTGGGCGAGGACCCCGCGTGCATCGGTCAGGGCCTTCGCTTCTACATGGACCTCGTTTCGCCGCTCCACAAGGCAGTCACTGAGGAGTGGGCCAGAACCTACGGCTCGATCGTCAGTCACCTGAAGGTCGCCCTGGCTTCGGAGGACCGCAACAGCCATGGCGAACGCGGCGGCGATCTTGATCAGGTTCGGATGTCGGAATGAGCCCAATCATTTATAATCTACACAACGCAATCTTACTAGCTTTTTCTTTTCTCGCGCACTGCTCGTTTTAGAACAAACTGGAGAGAAATAAGCCGCAGCCGCCTTCACTCTCTCAACTTGCAGTCCAAACAAGATGTTTCGTAATTTTGATCCCATTTTATCCAGCTGATGTTGATCATAGCTAAGTGCTTGAGTTGGCAAAGCTCAGGACATCATTATCGGCATACGTTTATTCGACACCTGCCTTCTCGCTGGGAGCCTCAGGGAATGTAGGCGCTTTTATTTGCATACTACGGGTACAGTGTACTAGAATACTTTACTACGAGTACTCGAGTTCGGTTGTTCCCGTCTCTGCAACAACTGAACACGAGCTGCGACCCCGATGTGTTCTGAGGCAATGTTTCTCATCTAGCCTCCGTCTAGCGCCTACAGTGAGCTCGTGTCGTGTCCATAAGCTGAATTCGACTATCATCAGCTTGTACTCCGGGACTATGTCGACATCGTAATCCCCAGGAACACGCTAGAAAACATTTCAAATAATATTAAAATACTCTTTTTTTTAAGCTTTACAGATTTGTTAAAAAAAAAAAAGCCTTGAAAGTTACACTTATCTGGTTTCTTCAGGTGAGTTATACGGCCAGGGGGACTTTATGTGGGTGGCTAATCTTTGCGATAGGTCGGATAATTAACCCAACTTCCTTAATTAACCTTTTAAATCGTAAAATGAATCATGGTTTTCATTAGAAAAATGCTCAGCATAATCGAAAACTGCTAAATCCACTCTTTTTGGGACGACTTGAAGCTCGTGGGAAATTCGGGGGCGCGCCAGAGTTACCACTCGTGTAGCAAGCGCAAAGCTAGCAGTGGCAAAACACGGATGATTAGATTATCATCGCGTTCCGCCACTGCTAGCTTTGCTTGCTGCACGAGTGGTGACTTTGGCGCGCCCCCGAATTTCCCACGAGCTTCAAGCCGTCCTAAAAAGAGTGGATTTAGTGGCTTTCGATGACTTTCATTAAGTTTTTTTTTTAATTGGAACCATATGTCCATTTGCTCTAATTAAAACTTAACTGACGAATTTTAATTAATTAGCAGAGTTATCGAAACATTAGCCACTCACATAATGTCCCCCTGGCCGTATAACTCATCTGCACAAACCGTTTAAGTTTAACTTTCACGCCTTTTTCAAACAAATCTGTAAAGCTTAATGAAAACGCCTTATATCTATATATATCTATATCTATATATATATCTATATATATATATATATATATATATATATATATATATATATATATTAGGACTTTAGGACCAGATCAAGAGCGGTACCCGCTCGGAACGTCGTCCAATAAATACGTTTTAAAGCATTTACCTCCTTTTTACGATATATATATATATATATATATATATATATATATATATAAGGGCGTCTTTATTAAGCTTGCTGCACGAGTGGTAATGTATATTCCACATACCCTAGGGGCCGCTAGGCATTTAAGGTTAGAGTGGTACGTCAACAGAAAAAAAAAAAAAACTGGGAAGTAAAAAGATGGTTCCAATTAATACACAGTGCGACACAATACCTATAGAATGGTTAGTCAATTATATTACTTGCGGCGGTATGAAAAAAATCATAATAAGGAATTGTTCGAACTTGAAATGGAAGGTGGTTCCAGTCATTAGTGGTGCATGGGGTGAAATAATAAAAAAAAGGGATTAGTATTGCATGATATAACGCCTACTTTACGATGCTGATCCAAGCGCGACGATATATAGACCTTTCTCGAAAGTGCGCCGCCATCTTGAAATATCATCACTTCCAGTATAGGCGAAAACATTGATTTGCCATCGCCACGCCAATAGAATGCATTTAGGAGATAAGCGTAACCGTCACCCATACTCGTTTTGTCTTCCCTCTAATTTTTTTACTATTTGCAGGTTAAAATGTTTTGAACATTTTTTCGTCGTCCATACCGGATATGCATACTTGGCGGTCGGCGGCGAGAGTAAGCGGAAAAGGTCTATAGGAAGGGGAGATCATCATCATCATCATCATCATCATCATTTATTATTCCTTGAAGGCCCAGGGGCATTATACAAGGGAGTGAACACTTAAAAATACAAACAAGTAACAAAACTATTTATCTACAAAAACACGCTGTAATCTAGTTATGGGTTAGAAAAAACAAGCTAATGGCTGCAGCAAATTTCTTAGTATCAGATAAGGAAACAATTACATCAGGCAGTGAGTTCCAGTCGTCAATGGCCAATGGTAAAGTAGACATTTGGTGAGTGACGGTTGACGATGAAATCGGACGGAGTTTACAAGAATGGTCGAGACGAGGGAAAATGCGGTAAGGAGGTGATAACAAACTTTGTCTGAGATGACTGTTGTAAGAAAAGATCCGATGAAGAAGAGAAAGACGAGACACCCTGCGGCGGTGAGAAAGAGTGTCAAGGTTAGCTGATTGGCGAAGTCCTGATATGCTTGCGTAAGGGGAATAGTCGGAATAAATAAAACGGAGGGCCCTGCTTTGAACGGATTCCAGGTTGTTAGTTAGGTATGCCTGCCACGGTGACCATATGGAAGAAGCGAATTCTAGTTTAGTTCTGACCAAGGTAGTATAAGCTAGTTGTTTTACGGGGGATGTAGCTTGCCTGAGGTTACGGCGAAGAAATCCGAGAGTTCGGTTAGCATCGGCGATGACAGTTGTTATATGAGTGGTCCATGACAGGTCAGATGTCAGATGAATTCCTTTATACGATGAGTGGTGTACTGTGCAAAGTTGCGTGAAGGTAAATTTTGTAAAAAAGCAAATTGGTCTAATTTTGCGACGCAATTTTAGAAGTGGAATACACAAGTTAGATTTCATTGAAGATACACCGGTACGTTGATAGTTGGAATAAATAAAACGAGCTAATTTACTTCGTGTAATTTCTAATTAATTTACGAGAATTTCCATGTAAGCATTCCATATTGAAGAGGCGTCCTCTAGTTGTGAACGAACAACAGATTTGTAAGAAAAAACTTAGTGGAGGTAGAGGTTGAGTAGAAATTACGTTTTAAGTAGCCGAACATGCTTTAAGCTTTGCTAGTAATAACATCAATGTGAGTTTCCCAGCTAAGATCAGATGTGATATGAACGCCCTAATAATTGTATGACTTGACAGATTATAGGGAAACACCCTTAAGTTGATAAGAAGGCAGGTTAGCCAAACCACGTACTACGAAGCATACGCATAAATTATCACTTGCTGACATTTAGGGCCACCCGCCACGTGTTACATCAAGTAGATATAGCTTTAATCTCTGTCTGGAGCGCAAGTGCGTCATTATCAGGGGTTATTTCACGAAAAAGGACACAATCATCGGTGAACAAATAGATCGAAGATAATACGCAGTTAGGTAAATTGTTAATATAAACAAGAAGAGCAGAGGCCCAATAACGGTTGCTTGGCGTATGCCTGAGAGGACCGGGTCACAAGGACAGTCCACGTTGTGGGCGCAAATAAATTGCTGGCGATTAGTTAGGAAGCCTTCAAGCCACGTTAGTAAGCTGCTTTCAAAGCCTTTATTTTTTTTTTAAATAGCAGGAGGTGATGCGGGGCTTTGTCAAATGCATTTGCAAAATCTAAAAAAGTAAGGCTCCAATCCACGCAGTGAAGGTGGTTGGACAGCTAAGATGTGGTATCACAAGCAACGAATGCCCACTGCACTCTAGACCCTTTGTATTGCAAACGCCACCAAATAGTGCTTCATTCTTTGATGACGAAGAGAACTTCAGGTTTATAAAAATAGTGAACAAAAGTCACCTTAACACCGCTGCTTAAGATGTAGATAAAACGCTAACAACCAGGTGAACGCCAAAAGATTGAGGCAGTGTGAGAGTAGTTCAAATGTTTTGAGTAGTCTTGTAAGCTAACTTGCCTCCTCCAAGACATTAAATTGTACAGCCGAAGGCCCTCGTTGAATCTCCAGCTTTGTTGTCCGTGCAGCATCTATGCTTTCTAGCACTGGTGACATAAGCAAGCTCAACAGGCTTGCAAAGACAGTGCGACCGAAAGCTGCCTGGGACGCAAGTGGCAGTTCATGTTTGTAAACAGCAAAGGGGTTTATACCAAATGATTGACGAAAGAAAGGTAAATTCACTGTACCATAACCTGTTTTTATATAGGGAAGACTTCCTACTCTGCCGTCGCCGCGGCAGCTTATGCAACCGCCATCTTTACCGCGAAACGCATGCGGGGAGCTCTACGTGCTTATCATATATCACGTGGTTTTGACACCCTTTTTGTGGTCTTTATTTTGAAACACGCGTCAAAACCACATCATAATAAAGGCACGACGACATTTTAACTCCATCTTGTCCCCGCAAAATGTGCATCATGACTGTTGTGTTTGTCGTTTCTTGTAAAAGACTTTACATACTGTAACAAATCAAAATCCAGAACCTGTGATAGGCGAACTACTTCCAAGACTGTATCTTAATACTATAAAATACAAATGTAATTACTATTCTTAAAATATACAACAAGAGAGAGCTATTCGATGAGAAGTATCTTATTATCTGCAAAAGCTTTTTAGAGCGCAGCTCTTAGGCGCCCATTTCCGGCTTGAGCGGCGTCGGCGTCGCCGTCGCCGTCGCCGTCGGCGTAACTGCGCGGCGCATGATGGGTAAACGCCTCCGCTGCATTTAGCGGAAAATTTTCCCCGCTAAATTGAGCGGAAAAATTTCCGCGTTCAATTTAGCGGAAAAATTTCCACCTAGCGGGAAATTTTGCCCGCTTAATCTAGCGACAAAATTGCCCAGCTAAATTTGATAGAAAATTTTCCCCGCTAAATCTAGCGGATATTTTGCCCCGCTAAAGTTTGCGGAATATTTTCCCCACTAAATTTAGCATGAAATTTTCCCCGCTAAATTTAACGGAAAAAATTTTCCCGCTAAACCTACCGGAAAATTTCCCCGTTGTCTAGCGGAAAATTTTCCCCACTAAATCTAGCGAAAATTTTTCCCGGCTACATTTAGAGAAAAATATTTGCCCGCTGAAAAAATTTCCCGCTAAATCTAGCAGAAAACTTTCCCCGCTAAATTTAGCAGAAAACTTTCCCCTCAATGGGGGCGAGCAGGAGAGGAGGAGGGGCATAGCCCTCTCTCTGTACCTTCCCCTCCTCCTCCTCAAGAGCCGCGCTCTAATTCGGCGTTACAGGGAGTTGTAAACGGCTTTCATTTTTTTTTTCAAATTCATATTGTTTATATAGTTTTGCATCTGCTAAATAAAGTTTACCCCAGATGTAAAAATAAGATTGCTACTTCGGCAATAAAATTGATTGGAAGTAACATTGTCGAACATCGAAAACGAAAATGTATTTTAAGTTCAGGTCAACTTTCTCATGGGGCTTATAAAACTTGCGTCATGATATTAGAATCAGAAGCTTTTCAAAACATTTTGTAAAGCTGATTTAGTCACAAATGCATCTTAAATTCCAATACTTTATTCATAATAAAATACAACCCGAAAATTACATTCCCAGCAATGCCACGCTGTTGTCGCAACTCCACGAGGATGCTTTTCAAGGAATTCCTACCAACTTCTATCAGACCTTGATGATATCTTTACATCATCTAGTTTTGCGTGAAACAAATAATGGGACAATTCTCACGCTGAACAAAAAATTATTTTCAGAAAGTTGACTAATCTTCTGGGCCTTTTATTTTTTACGATCAAGAGATCTCTGGCTGATTCAGGGTACGAGGAATCCTCTATCTCTATGGCGACGAGCACCCTTCGGCGTTTACCGACAAAACAGTATACACTTCTCGGTTATCCTAACAATCTAACACAAGTAGCATGCCACCTGTTTTCCAACGTATTCTTCTCGGTATACTGGTAATTACGCTTGAGAGCACAAACAGATGATCGCTACCAAGTCGCGCCTGGCACACCTTAGCGAGCAGGTTTTGTGGTTTTTCGCTCTGGAAAAGCGCAGCACTAAATGAACCGTTTTTGTTCTCTCCCAAATGGCCCCCGTAGGTGGCTTCGTGGGTAAACGAGACGGGCCAACAAGTGCTGGAAGCGATGCAGTCGGCCTTCACTGCCTTCGAGAATCAGGTGCGGGTCATCACCAAGAACGTCGAACTCTTCAGCGTTCAAGTTCGCAAAATACTCGAGTAGAAGCACCACCTTTTCTGTTTCCTTTTCGGCATAAAACGTGTTTGTAAGAGACAAGGTACAATAAAGGGGTTCGCACCACCTATAAACTAGTTGTAAAATTGTATACTGCAAAAAATCTCTTTGAGATTTTTGAAGCCCGTGGAGCGCAAGCTCAAGCTGTAGAACTCAACCTCGTTCCTAGGTTTCATCCCCGTCTTTTCCCGTTCCGATCTGAATGAGCATCGCGCCTATGTCCACCTGTCTATCACTACTGCCGTACGCACGTGATGACCCCAGGGTACAGGTTGTACAGTACTGATTCAATGCTCCATGGGGCAGAATAATTTTCAGCTGTCGAAACGTCCATACAAGTTAGTTAGGGACTGGATTGCATTGAAACCACCGGGGCCCACATGCTCCAAGACGCGGTTAACTTTAATCGCGGTAAAAAGTTAACCGCCCTTCCCTACTAGGCTACAAGTACCTAGGCAATTTTGACGAGAGCTGGATGAGGGATTGGGGAGGAGATCGAACAGTCACGCCTCTGGCGGCACACTTCAGCTGTGGGGACAACAAACCGAATTTCCTTGTTTGTTTTTGATCAGCGATATCGATTCCGATGGCCACTCCTCGTGCAACCAAAGCACTGGTAACAGTGAAGCGCTCGTGTCCAGACCGTGCATGGCGAGGTTAAATTTCTTTGTTATTCTGTTAGTAAACACCGGGCTGTGGGGACAACAAGCTTAATAAAGCTCCCCCTATAGTTCGATCTCCTGCCCGTGGTAGCTGGTCTCACCTATATTTACTGGCTGTAGCGAATATAAGTGGCTTTCGTGGAAAACTTTCCGAAAAGAGGGAACCCAAGAACGCGCAATATAGGGTTTTCACGACGCAGCGCGGCATACATTTGAGCTTACACTTTTTGGAGCGCAGCTTTTAGGCGCCCGTTTCCGGAAAGAGCGTAGTCGGCGTCGACGTCGGTGTCGCCATCGGCGTCGGCGTAACCGCGCGGTGCATTATGGGTAAATTTCCCCGCTAAGTTTAGGGTAAACATTTCCCCGCTAGATCTAGCGGGAAATTTCCCCGCTAAATCTAGCGGGAAAATTTCCCCGCTAAATCTAGCAGAAAAATTTCCCCGCTAAGTTTAGCGGAAAAATTTCCGTAAATCTAGCGGAAATATTTCCCCGCTAAACCTAGCGGAAATATTTCCCCGCTATACTTAGCGGAAAATTTCCCCGCTAAATCTAGCAGAAAGTTTTCCCCGCTAAATCTAGCGGAAAAATTTCTCTGGGGGTCACGTGACCTGGGGGGCCCCCCGAGTTTAGGTGACCCTCCGAGGTCACGTGACCCCCCCCCCCCCCCGAGGTCACGTGAACCCCCCCAGAACACGTGACCCTCAGTACCCTTCCCTCCTCCTCCTCCTCAAGAGCTGCGCTCTAATTCGGCATTACAGGGAGCTGTAAACGGCTTTCATTTTTTTTTTACTCGGGATTCTGATACTGGGTAAGGTAAAACTAAATTAACTCTTTTTTGAAAAATTTCTAAATGTTTGGTTGTCTCAAGTGAAGACGCGCCTCGTGGAAATTTCCTTCCAATTTCGGAAGAGTACAACAAAGTTCAGTCCTAGAAACGATGAGAAAGAAGTGAGGAGGGAAAGGCAGGCGATAGACCGGCAGCATGGTTGGCCAGCATGTAAGAACTGTATACAACAAAATCATAAATTGAAAACCGTGTAATTCGGCTCCACTGAAAATAGACATATTACTAAATTACCCAAGCATCGGGGAGAATGCTGAAAGTGTAATTCTACGCTACACGCGCGGTTGCCTTCCCCGTAAAAATTATTCGAAAGAAATAATCATAATAATGCCTTGACGAACGCGCGTGCCAGTCAAAATTTGTTACTACTGCTACTACTGTAGATGCCAGCACGTGCAGCGCGCGTAACTACACTCGTAGCATGCTCCTTGGTGCTTGGATATTTTAGCAAAAGGTCCATTGGAACGCTGTCTGCTTCTGGGTGCTATGAATACCTAAAACAAATGGCATTTTGCACGCGCGTTCGTCAGCGTTTTATTTTGTTTATTTACTTCGAATCTTTTATACGGCCATAGCCTCCTCTTAACTCACAAAGCCTGGCAGTTCGACGGCAGAGCCATAAAGCGCGCCCGGTCGCAGATTTGGAGTGCGAGAATCTGGTAGCACAGAGCATTTCTCGGGGAACCTGGACGCCAGCGCACAGATTTTGCAACGGCGAGGACCCCAAACATGGTTTTCAAACCCGACGAGAAAAGAAGCGGTAGCGCGAAAAACGCAAGGGGCACGAGCGAACATTCCATCGCTCGGGAGAAGTGTGTTTCGGCGCATCGCCGCAGCGGGGCGCCCGTCACCTGGCTCTCCTGTCATCTGTTGTCTGCCGCTCTACCTTTGCAATTTCGGCGGCCGCTTCTCGTGGCGATCTGCATGCCAGGATTTGTCAGTATAGAGGAGGCTATGATACGGAGAAAGCGAGCGCGTGCGGCGCGTGGAACACCATCTCTGCATTCTTAAATTTACCAATTGGGCAATTTAGCAATATGTCTTTCGAGTCAAGGCAATCCACTAGAGTATTTGAAAGAAATTGCCATGCCGACAAATACCACGTTCATTTAGGCTTAGGAATAGCGAGTATCGAAAGTGTATCTCAAAAATGCGGCGCGATAATTGCTCGTGCTTTGTGATTTAAGTGAGGGAAGGCAAAGCGAAAGCCTCCTGCACCATTCATTGCTGACTAACGCGCCCGATATTGCATCTACTACGACATATTAGTTACAGAGAGAGCGACGCTCGCTAGCCATGTTTCCCCACCGTCTTTACTTTGTCGGTCACGTGACCTAAAATTCCTCTCGCAGGAGGATGCGGTTAAATTTTTACCGCGGTTAAAGTTAACCGGTTTCGAGGAAAGGGGCCTAGAAGTTAGCGCTTTTCCTTTAAGTTTTCATGTACTGTGATTTGAGGGCATCTCTCAGCACGTTTTGTAACCTTTTCGAAAGGTTCGTTCAGTATATAGGTATACGCTCACCTCGCAGCCCATAGCGAGGGCGTATATTCACTCGCTAATGTAAAGGTGTCCTGAGCATCATTGTTTGATTATTTTAATGACATCTTACGAGCGGCTTAAACTAATTTGATTACAGCTATACCTCGTTCCTCTGGTCATGGGTGTACTCCAAAATAATAAATGCTAAATAACGAAGTTCTATTAGAAGACTGCAAAGTACTCTGTTATCTAGCAAATATTTTATTGTGAACAAAGCACGCCCACGCATTGCAAGGTAGATATTATAGTATCTTCAAAATATCCCGAAGCCTCGTAGAGGGTGCAGAGAAGCGCGGCAGTTCATCAAAGAAAGACCGATCTTCAGAGAGTCCTGTCGCAAAGAATGGCCTCTTCGAACTTCTCGCGGCATTCCTTGAAGGTCTGCCGAATCTCCACCATCACTTCTTCCCAGATCTTGGTCACGATGACGGTCACCTTGGTGTGGATCACCGGTACCGTATGTCCACCTTGCTGCGTCCCGCTGGCCGCCAGTGACTGATCCAGAAGCGCAATTGTGGTTCGGTAGGTGACCTGGGCAAGTCAAAACACAGTTCGGCGCCGCAGTTCTTGCGTGTAACACGTGCGAAGCAGGCACAATGGGATTCTGTCCCCGCATAAAGCGACAACCGACAAACTTCTTGCAGCCGTGTCGAACGTGTCATATTAGAGCGTTTTACAATATCGCACGCTGCAAAGAACGGGTCCAGCGGGCGCGTGCTCAGTCCATGCTTTACAGTGACGCCACGACCTCCCGCTAGCAAAGCGGAGCTCAATAAATGTCTCCTTTAACTGTTTTAGTTGTACCCCAAAGCAGAGCCGTATATGAAGAGAGCTTGGTCATTAATTGGTAAGAATAGGGAGAAAGTAAGTGCACGTAATTGGCCGAAATTGTTTCAATGACCCCCTGTTCAATGATTGACAGCTCATATGACCAACCACTAGCCACAAATATTCCCCTAGCGGAGGCAATGAGCTTTTTAACAAATACCCTCCATTTAACAATTCCTATGTAAGGATGCATTCAAGTATTTCATTTCAGCACGCTAGAGTTGAATTTTGCGACTCCTTGCCACTGAAAGGGCAACACACATGACGCTGTCGTCGCGGCAACATTAAAACATACAAAATCTTTTTTTATTTTTTTTTTATTTTTTTTTTTTACCGCGCCCACGCAGTCACGACGGAGTGGACGGCAAAAACTTCGGATACGGCTCCGTGGAAGTTTTGACCCAACCCCGAAGGCGTACCATACATTCGCAGTTTCGCCTCATGTATCCAGGAATTTTTCCTCGTCAGTGTCACCTTTCGTGGCTCAATGAACGCACTCAGCACCTTGAAACTTCCCTTTTCCACGAATCTCCCGCAATTATGCGTTACCGTACTTTCAGCCGCATCCAGAAACAAAAGAAAAAACACCTGTGCCGCGCTACGCGAAAACTTCAACGTTATCCCAGCTCATTCTTACTTTGCAAGTTCTTCACGGGGGTCAATATGCGGCACTGACGGTGGTGGCGCTTTTGCCGCTCCACTTCGGCTCCCGTCGGCTTGTCCCATTAAACAAACGCTCTCAATATACGGCTCTGCCCCGAAGCACGAAACAACTTACCAAAAATCGACTTCTCTTATAAGCACGCGACACTGCTCAAGACACTTCGGGTTGACAGGAAGTTATGGTTTCGTCAGTGGAAAAAATAGGTTCTAGAGACCACGCGCCAAGAAATTTAAGAAGATGTGGAGAGGAGAGCCAGTGGGGATGTCAGAAAGCCGAGCTCTGGTTAGAATGATTAGTGGGTAGACCTATAAAGCTAGCTGGAATTGTTTCCACTCCATTCGTCGAACGCGTTTAAATGCGAGAGCCCGAGGCCGGCGTACCGCGTTCTAACGTGTCCAAAGAGTGCAATGAAGACACAAGCAGCTAACTCTAGGTTTACCCACTAATCTTTGAAACCAGAGCTCGGCGTTCTGACATCTTCGCGGGCTCTTGTCTCCTCTTTCTCAGTTTCTCGGCGCATAGTCTGTGAGAAAATATACAGGACATGTCGCTGTCTATATGCATGACGGAGGAGCTACGGCAGTTGTAAGTCACACCGATCCCCATCTCGACGATCAGAAGTAGTTCCCATCATCCGACCCGTCTATCTTGCAAGCCATATAGATACAAGCCATATAGCTGCTTGGAGCTGCAAGCCACATATGTAGGCCTTCTGACAGCCTCTAAAGATCCCTCTATTGCTCACGTCTCTATTCTATTTGGTCCTACTCAAGCCATCAGCAACTGAAACCGACTAAACAAGCCATGACCATCGTTCATTAAATGCACACAATACGGAACCACTTCGCTGGCGCGGTTGTCATCGACTGTGTGCCGGGCCACGGCTCTGCACAGGGCAACACGGCCGCTCACAATGTGGCCAAATGGGCGGCCCAATGAGAGGACCTGCAGAGTCACACCCTCCCCATGGACCTCGCGACAACACTCCTGGCTACCAAAACAAGATTCCGGGAAAGCTCGCGAGTCTTGATACCACCGTGCGCCGCCTGGGTCTCTCTTGGTCTGTTCCCCTCGCCAGGAGGTGCTACACTAGCGCACCCGCACCGAATGCGCACTAACCCCTGCAGTTTTTGTTTTTTTCATTCTGGCGAAGGAACTAGAATCGCATCCGTGTCGCCTATTCCCATTGCTCTGCTCCGGAGGACCAAGTGGATGCCCGCCATCACATCTGGACCTTCCCGGGGAAGCGGCCGGACAGTAAACATAGCGTCATACTGCGGGGATACGGTTGACTTCTCCGAGGCCTACCAGACCTGGACGACCAACAACGCCAGTGCACGGAGCCTCCTAGACTCGCAGCCTTCCTCTAATCCTCTTTCTTTCCCAAGGCCTCATGGCCTCTTTTCTTGGTAATAAACAACGGCAGGGAGGTCCCTCAGTTGTCCCGTCTTCAGCGCGAGCTCCGTACCTTCGATAAAGCTTCGTCGTCTCGTGACGCGTTATCCGTGCACGCGTAAGGCGCGCGTGCATGCGCAACCATAGACGAAAGGCAACAAGCGCGTGCTGGAGTCCAGGTACGGGAAGGAACGCCCTGCTGTTCTCATCTTGTGAGGGACTACAGAAGCTGTCTTTAACGTTTGCCAGTGTATAATACCTTCAGGGCTTCCGGTACAAAACGTGTTTAAAAAATTATTTATTCTCTGTTTAGGTGCACAGTAAATATTGGCCTCCAGCATTTCCCAGTTTACCATTGGCCCAACTGTTTTCCTCAATATGTGAGAAAAAAAAAGCCCGCAAAGTTTCCAGCCATACCTTGACAAACCTTGCTCAGCAGTTCACTCACTCACCTCATTCACCTTCACTGATCAGGCATGAGGTGAGGGTGAGTTCGTAAGTCTCAAAAAGTCGTGAGTTCGAGGTTGAGTGAGAAGCGAAAAGTCGGTGAGCGGTGTGAGTTTGGTGATTTCAGGAGTTCGATGAGGGGAGTTAGTTCGTGAGTTCATGAGTTGAGCGAGGGGCGTGAGTTTATAAGTTTGGTGAGTTCATGAGTTCGGGGAGATCATGAGGTCGCTGAGGGACGTGAGTTGATGAGGCTGGCCAATTCATGAGTTTGGCGAGGCATAAGGTCTCTGAGGGACCATCGGTCCGATGAGGTTTAGCGAAGTGACGTCGAAGAACTGCAGGTCAGGTGGCTACTACGCACATATCCGTGGAAGTTGAGTCGACGCTCCCTTCGCGATGGCGCTGTTTGCTCGTACTGCTGGTTCTTTACGATTAGGGCTGGGCAATTGATCGATTAACCTTCCGATTAATCGATTACGGCTTTAATCGCGATCAAATGTTTTTACCGGTTAATCGGTTTTTTAATCGGTACTCAAAAGAAGTCCGTTTCCAGCCAGGTGCTATGAGGAACGTTCAATTCTCGCGCTCGCGAAGCGTCACGTGTTCGAGGATATACATTACAGTACTGCCGAGGCGAGACGAACAAGCTGAGCCCGTAATCAATCCCCGCGCGACCGCGAAACTTCACGTGTTGAGGACGTGAAGTTTCACGTTACACATCCTGCCCAGGCAAGACAAACAAGCAGAAAAACAAGCTGGAAAGCCAACAACGCCATGGTTACTTGTTCCAGTATTCGGCACTTAAAAATGGACGAGTTCACCAGTAAGAAAGGCAATCTCACTAAAAAGTATGAGTTTAGTAAACTCCACCGGTGAACATTTTTACTCGAAGGAAGTCCACTGCATCATCTGCAAAAAGCCGTTTTCGTACAGTGGAAGCGTAACTTCGCTTCAGTATCGCCTACGAGCCCATGTAGCTGCAGCAAGGACCATCCGCCAAAACGGAGACAAAAATCAACGCCTTCTCCCCATCAAGGTTCCTTTCTCTGAAAAAAGGAGAAAGCATCGCCTACGCCCTGACTTCTAGACTTCCTGTCGGAGAATGTGGACAAACTTCTTTGTCTTCGGAGCTAGAGCAAAAATATGCGAGTCTTTGAATCGTTGAGCTATATATGTATCCTCCAATATAAATGTCCTTTGCGCCGTGTAACAGAAAGTAATATAAGTCCACAAAGGCAAGACGAGTTGTTGCAATCTTTTTAATATAGTATTTATAAAAATTAACGCAACCGATTAATCGATTAATTAATCGATTAAAGGGTGGCGATTAATCGGGTTAAAAATTTTAATCGATGCCCAGCCCTATTTACGATTGATTGGACAGGAGGAAAACGAGTTTGGCTCCGGCTCGCCTCGCGTTTGCCTGTAGTGGTCTTTTTTTCGCTGGTCTCTGCTTTGTGGTGGGGTGACGAGAGGGAGAAGGCAAGGCACTACCGCTCGCCTCGACCGCTCGAGTGTAGATTGCGAGGCACCGATATCCGCGCGGCGTTTTGTTGTTTCGGGAAGGAGGAAAACGGCCACCTCGTCGGTATGACCGAAGGCAAAGATTGCTATTTGGAGGTCGCTCGTCTTAGGCACGGTCGATAATCCTGAAGTCAATATTAAAATAAAATCGGGCTGGGAACTACCACGATTCGCCTGCTCACTTCTTTGTTTAAGTTGTAACCTAGAGTTTTGTGGGAAAAAGAAAAAAAGAAACGCGCATACATGTCTTTGTGCTCGAGTACGCCCAAAACGCCGGACTTTTCAAAAGTCCGCGCAAACGCCTGTCCGCCATTGCTTGCTCTCATGCTCCCAGCACGTATTGGACACGAGGTCTGCGTCAGCGTTCGGCGAGGACTCGGATCCAATCACGCGCTTTATGTCCAAGCAATGGCGACTGCCAATGTTGCTTGATGGACTTTTAAAAAGGGTATATTGGGTTTAAAGGCTGCTACATTTATTTTGTAGCATATAAATTGTATTGCGATCGTTGATTGTCAGTTTCTGGATTGCTTTCAAAGATATATGAAACTATATTTTCACTTTCACTTAACATTTGTGATAACAAATCCTTGACGTTCCTAACCTGCTATCCCACACCCCGTTAGTCATTCAATAGGGGGCCATTGAGAATAGTCGGATAACTGACTGCACC